ACTGCAGGGCTCTGCGTCTGTGGGCTGTTATATACATGATATTTTTAGCTGTAAAGTAATACTGGGTTATTCCATTTCAATTGGGCTGTCTGCAGGGCAGGAATTACTTGTGAATTCATCTGTCAGTAGGAACTGCAGGTTACTAGATAGATATGCCGGCTTATTTCTTTTAAAATCATCCAAATATTTATTTTAGGGAGTCTGTGCTGCTTGAGGCTCTGGAGAAGCAGGAAAAACGCTGGTTTTCCATGTGGAGATGTGTACATTGAGGACACAAATTCCATATTCTGCAAAGTTGAATGCGCCATTGTGCCAGATAATTAAAATGTAAATTTAAGTATCTATGCCCGCTTTGTGATTTCTTTTTCTTTTTTTTTTTTTTTTTTAATACTTTTAAGTTAGTTGTCTTTTAAAACATGTGGTCAGCTGTTGTATTCACATATGGTCAAATGATCAAAGTCTGAACTCCTCTCTAATTGTCCCCTGCTGCTTGTCTGCTCTGTCCATGATCAAGGCCTCAGCAGGTGATAAGAAAGGCATGAGAACAGGCTGGAAGGAGAATGAACTACTGAGGGGCCCAAGCTGAAAGAAATAAAGACTTCCAGTACATCACCCTGACAGTAAAGAACCAAGAAAAAGTGAAGTCTGGTTAGTTCTTATTTTTTTTCTTTCTTTCTTGCCTTTTTCCCCCCCTTTTTTGCTCCCCAATCTGCATATATTTTTTTAAAGGCAGAATGCAAATGGGGTTAGTCTCTGTGTATTCTCAGCTCATATAAAAGACAGCACCAAACAGCCTGCTGCAGACATGTTTATTTACTTGCTAGGAGGAGGAAGCTGCTAAGTCACACGGTTTATAGTATTTCACATGTTTGTGGAAATCCTTGCAATTCTTTTCACTTGTGCTTGTCATTGTTTGCCTGGAGTTCACTTTGCCAGATGGTTCTTTATTGTCACTGGTGTCCACACCTCGCTCTTGCATCACTTCAAGACCAAATGGTGTGAAGAGCTTTAATACTTAGAGGATTTAGTAAAAGTAAATCCACACTTTGTGGAAGGTTCATTCTCAAGCTATTCAAGCAGGTCTAGCACTGATTCAGGGAGGAGGGAGTAGCTGACCCAAGGAATGAAGAGAGGGGGAAATAAATGGATTGCCTTTGCCATTCCTGTTTGTCCCCTGCTCTCTTGCAGCCAAAACGCCAATGGAAAATTAAGGCTCTATATTAGCTTTCGGACGAGGAGTTAACAGTTAAAGGAAAGTGCATTGTCAGGCATCCCCCACTCGCCCCATCAGTGTAGATGCATTTCTCCGGCTAAATTTCTTAGCCTTGCAGTAATGTATTTGTATGCATCATGTTCCTGGGACCACGTGAGGATTAATTTTTTACATGAATTTGCATGCAAATAGAGCACTCCCTTTTGGCTGCTGTTCGAGTCGTTTCTTGCCTGTTTGCAAACACTGTCACTCAGATGGGAGAAGTGCGATTGCCCCATTTTACAGCTGAGGAGGCAGTGCCTGGCTGGGAAAGCAGTAATGCGCAGGCTGTCACTCAGATACCGAGGGCTGTGGGGCAATTTATGTTTCATTATAAAAGTGAGGTTTGAGCACTGATTCCTTTAATCTCGCAGGTAGCTGAAGACTATTTGTCCAAATGACTACAGCAGTAAGAGTGGGCAGAGAGAGTGTGTGTCTCTGCATGGACAGGGAGTACTTTAGCAGGAGGCAGGTGGGAGAGGATTTAGAGGTTATTATAGGAAAATCCTTCTGGTGATCAGACTGTTGGATGGCTGCTGGAAAATAGGCAAACAGGTTAATGGGGTATCTCTACAGACGAAGAGCACGCATCACATCTCTGCTGCTCCATCCAAATAGGCAGAGATGTGTTTAGTGTCATATGTTTCTTCTAGGGACAGTATAGCCACCTCCAAAGGGTTTTCCCTGTGGGCTGCGTGGGGTTTAAGTTTAGGAGTGGGCTCATGGTAGAAGGGAAGGCTTCTCATAACTTTGGTGGTGGAAAAAGAGGAAAGCGATCGCGTCTCTGCAAAGGGCAAAGTGTGAGAGGGGCTTGAAACAAAGAGTTGGGAGCATTTTGACCGTGAAGATTTGTGGAAGGCAGGGCCCCAGTCCTGCCGGGAGCTCTGCTGGAGAGTGTCTGCCTCAGCACTGACCCACAGAAGTGAAGTGCCCCATGGAAATCTCACCGCTTCCCTTCCCTCCCTCCTGGGTTCCTTCTGGGACGGGAGCTGGTTCCACTTGGTCATGCTCAAGTGACTTCCTGAGCTGGGGTCGGTGGGAGTGCACTGCTTGAGGAGGTGAAGTGCCCACCACAAGCTACGTCTAACGTGAGAACAGGCAGAGCTGCTCGCTGCTGAGTGCAGTGAACGGGGAGGCTGCCAAGTGAGGGCAGTGAAGCAGGGTGTGCGAAGGAGCTTGAGAGACAGCTAGAGGATTTGTGAGGGGTCGGGTGGGGAGGTGGAAGGATGTGGAGACGGTAGGGAGAGGAGGGGATGAATGGAGCAGGCGGGCTCGTTAGGCAGAGTGGTCTTTTTCCACTGCTTATTCTTCATAGCAAACACAGGGAAGTATATTCCTAGTGCTTTCCCTGCGCGCTCAGGCTCTGCTTTTATAACACAGGCAATGCCAGGCTATCTGCCTATCAAAGTTTGTCTCACTGGTCCAACCCATCCATTCCCAGTGTAAATGGAACCCGAAAGGATAACGCTGCATTTCTTGCTATTTGCTTTACAGCCCACAGTGACTCCAGAATAGGCTGCGGAAGGAGCCCAGACCTGGCTGCTGCATTTCTCCCACTCCACCTTGATCGCTGCTGAGTTATTGCAGCTTCTTATCTATGGTGCAAATGACTTTTAACGGGGATTGTTGTATTTGCTCCACTTCTCTCCCCCATCCTACCACATACATTGAGTTCCTGTTAAATACCTTGCCCAGCGAAGGCTGCAGGATCCTGTTTGGTCTGTGAGCTCTTTGTAGACATCTGAGAAGAGGTGGGGTTCTGTCAGCTGGAATAGTTCCTTCGTGGTGACTTTGGGTTTTTCTCTCAAGTGGGTTTGACTCAGCTGCTTCTGTCTCCTCCCTTCTGAGCCCAGTTTCAGAAAGGTATGGTGGGCACATGGTTTATGTGCCCTTGTGCTGGCATCTAAAACAATCAGTACAGGAGGCGTGATTTAACAGACCTGGGCACTGAGAATTTGCCCTTGCCTCGCACATCCTGTGCACTACTAGATCCATCCCTCTGTGGGGTGCTGCTGGCTGAGGGATGATCTGTAACCCTTCTGTCAGGCTTTGCCATGCCCTAGAGACCCTCCTGTAAATATTTATTGTCCAGGACATCTAGAAGTAGGAAAGACCTATCAGGATGGTGGACATAAATGGGAACAGAGGCAGCCAGATTTAACCAGCTTATAGATTGTATCTTCTCTCATTTGGTCCTCTATTTCCTTAGGAATAAAACTGGCAGTGTCCAAAGAGAGCTGTTGAGAGTCATCTTTACATCTGGAACTTTCTAAGCTGGTGTGACCTGTCTACCCTCAACACAGCTGAGGGGTTTATTTATCATAGAGAAAACACAGCCTTGATTGTAGACACTAGTGATGAGATAGGAGTGAATTCTGCTTCTTTAATGGTAGTTTTTGTAGTATACATTGATTTGTTATTTACAATAATAGCATAGGGCAATACATTGATAATCCCAAACTGTGGTGGGAGCATTGAGAACCAATAGATGGAAGTAGCTCCTGTGTAATACTGCATTAGCATTGCACACTTAGATGGTTCAGTGAGGAGTTACTGGTCATAGTAACTGTGAATAAGATCATATATCTTTATATCAAAAGGAATGTGACCAGCAGGTTGAAGGAGGCGATCCTGCCCCTCTATTTTGCTCTCGTGAGACCTCACCTGGAGCATTGTGTGCAGTTCTGGTGTCCTCAACATAAAAAGGACATGGAACTGTTGGAACAAGCCCAGAGGAGGCCACGAGGAGGATCAGGGGCTGGAGCACCTCCTGTATGAAGACAGGCTGAGGAAGTTGGGGCTGTTCAGCCTGGAGAAGAGAAGGCTGTGTGGAGACCTCATAGCAGCTTCCAGTATCTGAAGGGGGCCTATAGGGATGCTGGGGAGGGACTTTTCATTAGGGACTGTAGTGACAGCACAAGGGGTAATGAGTTAAAACTGAAACAGGGGAAGTTTAGATTGGATATAAGGAAGAAGTTCTTTCCTGTGAGGGTGGTGAGGCACTGAAATGACTTGCCCAGTTGTGAATGCTCCATCCCTGGCAGTGTTCAAGGCCAGATTGGACAGAGCCTTGGGTGCCATGGTTTAGTGTGAGGTGTCCCTGCCTATGGCAGGGGGGTTGGAACTGGATGATCTTAAGGTCCTTTCCACCCCTGACTATTCTATGATTCTGTATTGGTTCAGGTTCCTTCACCGGCAGAAGCTGGTCTTTGTCAGCTGTGGAAAGTTCCTGAACAAAGAGCTCTCCAACCCGGTGCTGATGGCAGGTAGTGTCATGCTGTTTTCTGGGAATATGTTTGCTATTTTCTAGGATAAACAAGTGAAAAGTGGTCAGCAGATAAAATAGATTCCTCCCACTGCCCCCTTCCCCCATGTGCTCATAATAAGTGGCCGGGGGGCGGGGGGGGGGGGAAGGAATAGGAGTGGTTTCTTGACCTGGATATGGTCAAGAAAATTACAGAGCCAACAAAATCAATTTCCAGCTCTAATAGTCCCCAAGCCCAAGGAGCTGTGCACAGGGCTCCCTGGGGTTAAAGTAGGCGTTTAATCTCTGAAGTCCTATACAGGGGAGGCATGCTGAAAACAAGGAGTGTTTGGTGGAGTCACGTGCCTCGGGAGGTTTGGGATCAACAGGAGGGATGTGGTTTGTTTTCTCTCATCGTGGTTTTGGATGGGAGCTGTGAGAGGTTTGGTGGGAGGAGGCGAGGTTTTATCATAGAATCATAGACTGGTTAGGGATGGAAAGGACCTTAAGATCATCCAGTTCCAACCCCCTGCCATGGGCAGGGACACCTCACACTAGACCGTGGCACCCAAGGCTCTGTCCAACCTGGCCTTGAACGCTGACAGGCATGGAGCATTTATGCTGCTTTATGGGTAACTGAAGGGGGCAGGTCCCAGCCTCACTTCTTGGCATCCTTGTATAGGAAGCAGAGTTTGCTTTATTACTTTGCCAACCTTGCAAGGACTATTGTGAGAGCTCTTTGCTATAATAGATTGTTGAGGGAGATCCTTGGGCTAAGCCATGTGTGCTGTGCGGCTTGTTACTTGTAGGACCTGATTCTGTAAGAAAGATGCTCCTTCTGGCTGGGCTTGGATGGGAGACAGAATGAGCCCACCTTGTCCATGCATGGGGCCTCCAACTGACTGAAAAGAAAGGGATGAACAGAGTAGTCATTGCTTTAGGTTGGATTATGCGGCAAAAGGAAGGCAGGAGGCTTCAGCAGAGAGGATTTGGGCTGGTGCAGGGAGGAAGGCTCTTGCTCTATGCTGCAGGTCAAGTGGCAGGGTGATGAAGAGAATAGCCCTAATGTGCATAAACGCTGCCTGTCAAAGTGACTCTTCCTCCTCTGCAAAGCTACTTAAACACAACAAGCCCGTGTGGCACCCTGAAATGCATCCAGCAATTAAAAGATAAGGTTAATGAGTTACGTGCATGGAGGCCAGGGAATTTGGAGGCAGTGTTGCTGTGGTAACCATAACCCTGCCCTTGGGGACATCGGCATTCCTGTGGGGTCGGTGGGGGTAGGAAATGCCAGCGGCGTGCTAGCGGAGGGGTGGGAAAAGTCATAAACATGTAAAAATAAAGCCAAGGCTTTCATCTCCTTCTGTGGTGTCAGTGGAGGAGCAGTAAAAGGTGAAGTTCCTTTGCGCTGGGTGTCTTGGAGGGAGCCTTGGGGAGGGCAGAGCTAGCCTTGCTGGGTTTAGTCTCACTGAGTTCAGTACTGGGGACGCTGTGTTAGGTGGGGAAAGGATGTCTTCAAAATCATACTGGTATCCTTCTTTGGCTCCTACAGCTCAAATCCTGGCCTTTAAGGGAGACCTTATAACAGCCTTCCAATAGTTAAGGAGGCTGACGAGAAACCTGGAGAGGGGCTTTGGACAAGGGCCTGTAGGGACAGGCCAAGGGGAATGGCTTTAATCTGCCCGAGGGGAGACTGAGATGAGCTCTTAGGCAGAAGCTCTTCCCTGTGAGGGTGCTGAGGCGCTGGCACAGGGTGCCCAGAGAAGCTGTGGCTGCCCCATCCCTGGCAGTGTTCAAGGGCAGGTTGGACACAGGGGCTTGGAGCAAGCTGCTCTAGTGGAAGGGGTCCCTGCCCGTGGCAGGGGTTGGAGCTGGAGGAGCTTTGAGGTCCCTTCTAGCACAAACCAGGTTGGAATTCTGTGATGTCTGCTCCAAAGATCTGTGCTTCTGAAACTGTTGTTCAGGCCTGGCCTGCTGGTTCCTTCCTTGATGAGCTGGTGGCTGAAGCTCTGCCTTCACCTCTGGGAATGTTGTGCCTGTGAGTAGAAGGGATGAGGTACCATCCCTCTTCATGATGAGGAGAACTCCTTCCTTGTGTCTGCAATATCAGTGGCTGTGACTCTAGCACTGCCAGGTTTTGCTAGTGCAGATGATTTTAGGCTAACAGAAACCGCAGTGGTGAATGTGGTGGCTTCTCTTGCCTGTGAAATATGAAAGGAATTTGGTGTGGAAATCAGAAATGATGGCTTGGTGTTGTGTGTGTTACTGAACTGAGCACTTAAACATCAGTAGTTTTGCAGCGATGACGATTCTTGGTTCATTATCCAGGGCTCATTCTTCAGTCTCTGCATCTATTGTTTTGCCTTTGTAAAACGGGTTGGGTTTTCTGTTGCTGTCTTCTCAGGATAGATCTGTGCTTAGGTATCACTGCAAGAAACAGGTAATTCCTTACAATGAAAAATCCTCAGCTGGCTGCTGGCAGATAAGTCTCATCTGGAAAAGACTCTTGCCTCATATGCTGGTTATCCCTGCTGAGATAAAGCGAGCAACTGGAGCAAATGAAGCACTTGTGGAGTGTGCTACAGCTTCTCCCTGTAGTATGCAAATGAAGTGCAAATCATCTGCACTCCTGCAGGAAGTCCTTTATGAAAAGCAATGGGATGGAGGGAAATGGAGGGCCTGAGTGCTATATTCAGTGGAGGGCAATGTGCATTTGCTGTATGGTTGGGGTATGATAATAGAGGTCTGTTTCCGCGGAATGCTGTGGTTCTCAGAGGCAGGAGATGAAAGACATAGAGCGATAAAGTGGTACATCTCGGGGCATTTGATTTTGTATTAGAACATCATATTTTGTAGCAAATGCATACCAAATGTGGGAGAGAAATCCTGTTGTGTTACTGAACTTTAAAACACGCACAGAGATCATGCAGTTGTTTTTATTGTACTGAGATCTCATCCTAATAGCACTTCAGGTTATTTGAATAAATTACATGTATTTGGCAATCGTGTAGTAGGAATTTGTCACAAGAAAGTGAGCAAAGGTACACAACGACAATTCCATGGAAGGCAAGGTTTATGGAGACAATATTTTCTATACTCCGTTGTTCAGTGTTGAAACACATTTCTTCAATTTGCATTCCTTGTTTTCTTTCTTTTTTTAAGAGTGCATAATAACTTAGTGTAGCTTTGGGAACTTGGGACAGATATAACTTAAGCAGATTTATCTAACTACACACAGTACTTTGTTGCTCGACACACAAGCAGCTGCCATAGCAACTGCAAGATCACAAACTGTTATGATACCTCCGAGAAATGGGTTGTCTTTTAAAAGCAGCACAAGTGTGTCAACTTTAGTCGACAGGAGCCGTGGCTTTTGGGGGAGAAATGAGAGCTGCAAATGCACGTTCCCGTCCCTGTGGGGCCTTCGTGGTTTATTTTGATGATTGTATTTTTTCACTTTGCCATAATTTATCTCATTATTGTATACTGTTGTGTTGAGCTGAAGGAATAGAATGTATTTTAAACTGCTCATTGTTATTTCAATATACCACAAGAGTATCTAATGACTTTGAGATCTTCCTGCCTCCAGCTGGAAGGAGAGAGAAGCAAGTCCTGTCCTAAATAGCTTAGGGCTGAAAAAGGTGCAAATAGAGCTGGTGACATAGAGAAGGTAAATTGCCACCAACCCACTGCGTGGTTGGGACAAACAGAGCTGGCAGAGAGCCTCCTGAGAACACACATAGCTGAGGATGCTAACTGGGCATAAAGGAGACAGTGCTGTGGGCTTGTTCCACGCATCCAGCACGACACTACCCAAATGCAGCTAAATATGTGATGTTGGTAGACAGGATAAAAGCAAGACAAAAAAACACCCCAAAAAGAGGGAGAGAGATGGTGGCAGGGTTTTCCCCTCCTCTTCTGTCATCAAATAATATATCCCAAATGGAGGTGAACTTCCCTTCCTAACAGCTATGACCGAGGTATCATCCCTACCTTGTAGGTGGATGAACTGCTCCACTGAGTTAACAGCCTCCTTGTGAGCCCTAAGCTGAATTAATTGAGAGGTGGGAATAGGTCTCATGAGTGTTCAGGAAAATAGTGACTTTAAGTCCCTGCAAGCACAATTTCCTATGCCAGGTGCCAAAATAAAACATGCAGTATTTTGCAGCCATGCCCTTGTCTTGCAGACGAACTGGTATCAAAACCCAGCTGTATGGGTGATAGTTCACTTGTGTCCAGCACTCGGCCCATTAAACACCCAAATGGTTTAACTTTGCGACTCCAGATTTATTCTGTTTGTTTTGTAAAGGTCATGGTGATGTGTCCCAAGTCATGTTATATATCAGTTGGGGAGCTACCATGTGCTTTGAAAATAAGAGCAAATGAAGAGAGTTTCCCAGTTCTTATTAGTAACATACGCAAAGTGTCTACAGACATTCATAGATCACTCTGAATGGGTGCATTTTCCTGGAATTTGGTACTTGTTTCATGAGGCCAAAGAGTTTTAGTCATGGTCCAGGATGTCAGGGAAGCCATTGAAACAGAACAAAATGGTCCTATCTTCAGACCACTTCCAAAGCAAGAGGTAACAGAAATAGCCAGATGGGGATGTGTAAGGAGTTGATGAGAATGTTGCTCTACGGACCTCTGTCAGGAAAACAGCCATTTAAGTGATGACAAGCTGTTTGTTTGCATGACAGTCCGGGAGACTTTGAAGTCTGGTTTGAAGGCAAACAATGAAGTCACTTTGTAGATGGTTGTTGGAAGCTATTCCTAGCAGGAGGAAAAAGCACAAAAAGGGATTTTGTTGGAAAACATAAGATATAGACTGTGGACATGCTGAGGAGCAGGAGCCAATGCTGCAGATGGAGCACGCTGTGTGTAAAACAAACCTTTGTCAACTGTTCCTCTTGTTTGTCCAACTTGCTATGAGTAAGAATCAATGGGCCTCTCCCAAAAGTGGCTGCATTTTGAAATAGTCAGGAATATGGTATTGATGACTTCATGTCCCAGTCTTGCTCCCTTGGTAAATCCCTGTTGTCTTATGTGAACAGTCAGTTCCTTTCCTTCTCCAGGAAAAGGACTGTGATGCATGGTATGGAGGACTGCCATACCCCGCTTGGGGGTGCATCGACCAGGGACCTGTATCAGGGCTTACACCAGAGCTTGGCAGAAGTGGGAATGAGTTGTGGAAAGAAGCATGCAGAAAAGCAACTGTCTTCTGCTTGCTGGAGCCCAAGTGGTGTCAATGACTTGGGAATTCTGAGGTCTCCTTGCTGTGAGTCTTTACAAGGAGTTTGTACATCTTTGCCAGCTTTAAGTGCTCAACGTTCGTGAGTCACTCCTCAGAAAGCTCATGAAGATGGGTTGTTTTTTGCTGCCTTGTTTGTTGGTTTTGGTTTTTAAGTGGTTGGATGTGTTGTCATGTTTGTGAGCTCTCAGGTCCATCTGCGCTGCCTATTTCAAGGTTTTCTTTGCAACTGAGAATTAGGAACTTCTTTTTACGGCGCGTGTTCTTTTTTTATACGGAGCCTAGATTTGGGTGAGTCACCTGCCTGCAGGTTC